CATCTTCGTTGCCATGCTGATATCGTGTCTTTCTTTATTTGGTCTAATGCGCTCTTGTTGTATTCCGACATTTTCTTTAGCTCCCACAACTCTTTTATGGTATTACGATTTTCAATTATTTTCAGTCGAAGTTTGATTGGTGTTGTCAACATAAAAAATGAATATTTGACAGATAACTAAACAGATGAAAATTTTGAAACGAAAAATCAAAACAATTTAATTAAGTTATTGCTCACGAAAATGTGAATAATTATTAAAATGGATATTACTTTTAATTTATATTACTATGCAAAAAATGTTGTCTTCGTGATCACTCAAATACATTCGAACTTCGTAACACCAAGTAAGCCAAAGTTACCCAGTAACCACAAACTCTTCATTTCCTTGCTTCCGGTAGTTATCAAGAATGCATTTTAAATGATTTTAACTTTGGGATGAAGCAACTTACGATATCTATGGTTGTTACAAAATGTGCTTTTAAATATAATATTATAAACACCATATTTGTGCACTGTGCATAAAATACCAATACTTCACAAATTTAATTTTGCGCAAAAATTACATTCCTAGCAGTAGTAGATTGCATCAACTCTTCATACCATATTTGAAACACTTCTCACGGTCCCTTAATTTTATTTTAATGTTTCCCAATTGTTGCTTGTCTTGTCCAGTTTCAGACGGTTACTCCACGAGCTCAACAAATTTTTCACCTTTCATGGAACTGTACATACTAACTACAATAATTAAAATAGTTTGACATTATAAATAAAATATTTCTTTTTACCCATTTTCAATTATTATTATTTCTTAAATAAATTCATTAATGTTCAACTACAATTGCTTGTTAACAGTTAAAACTAAAAAACAGAGTTGAAAACCGTAATATCAAAAAAAGTTGAAGTTTGACAACACTTCACAGACATTTTTTTTGACGGATGGAGTTGAAAACCATAATACCAAAATTCAAAGCTTCAACTAAAATGCAGTTGGGTTGAAAACCGTAATTGGGGCCTTTGTTATCGACTAGGGAATGATTAGATAACTAGCTCCTCAATTAGCCTTATCTAGCCTTAGAGAACGGCCCACCGAGAAAACATTATTTCTCTAAATGAATATCAAATATGAACAAATATATAATAAAATGCTTTAAATTCAAATGCTAATTAGATAAGCAAAATAAATTTAAGACGTTTGTACACAAAGCACGATGAGGGAACTTTCATTTTAACCACCACTGTTAATTGAATTGCATGCATGTATATGACTTTTTAGCAAAGTAATATTAAGGGAAAGAATAAATAAATTCATACATTTCCTTAATAATTCACATATGTACACAATTGTACACATACATGCATATGTACATATAATCGTACTTGTCCTTTGTTCTCTTAAAAACTTTACATTGTGCACTCTCGTATATGTTTGAAGTGGTCGACACTTATCCTTCATAATGCAATTGAACAACACCTGCCTCCCTTATACATATTGATTAGTTAACATCATGCATATGTAACAAAAATAAAACGGGCAAGACGTAGGTACATTTAGTTTTTGGAATATGGGCGTATTTGTACCTATTTCGCTAGTTTATAATAGCTGAAAGTTTTTTAGTGAATGTCCCCTACACTTATATAAGTAAGAAGTACTTCGACTATTACTCCACAATTACTTAGGCAAATAACAGAAGGTAAGGGTGTATTAAATATTACCTTAAATTCGTTAAAGTATAAAGCTTTTTTTATAATGGCGAAAAAAAAATGTTCTTACCGCTTTAGGTTAGAAATACTTTGTTCCAAGTTTTATCAAGCATGATCTAACGTTCCTACATAATGCATGACATGTTTATGTCAATTCCGCATTACTTAGCATTTGAAGGTGGAACTGTACTAACTATATATAATCATAATAAGTATATATTGTATATTAATCTCTTTGATTTAATCACCTTCACTATTATTGTGAATTTTTTGGTGTTTCGCCTCAAACTGGTGTTGTAACAAGACAAGATGAGTTTCTATTCAGACTTAATCCTTAAGCTGCATTTGAATGCGATATTTACATTCCTCTGAGTGGTACAACCGTGCTTAACCTTTCTATTACGGTGACAGCAGTTTTGGAACTGTGTTGTAACTTCAATCGATTCATTTTACATACATTTTTTATGTACATTTATGGAAAGTTTATACAAAAAGTTAAATCAGAGATCTTTCATAATTTTAACATAAATATAAAATACAAATTTAAAAAATCCGCAATTGCGTTCTGATATTTTCCAATTAGCTGCTTTGCATTTGTTGCAGTAACATTGGTGCTGAAGAACAGATTTTAAAGCTGCTTCTGCGTTTTCGAATTGTTAAGAATGAAAAACACATACATAAATACATTAGTTTGCACGCAAGTAGATATAAGCTTTTATAATAATAATAATTAATTTTCATTTCCCCAAATCACGGCCTACCAAGTCAAAATGTAAGCATTTATTTCATAAAAATTTAATATTTTTGTGTGTTTTTTTTTAAGATAAATATAATTATTTGCACATGCATATACACGCAGTCTCTCTTTTCCCCATTGTAAGAATACACATTTACTCTGTTTTAAGCTTTACATAAGTATATAGATATGTACGTCTCTAAGTTTGTAATCGGCAATAAGACGTGTCGATGCTGATAATATTTATTTTATATAGCCCGTTAAATAATGCGTATGTACTTTTTATTTAGTATGCTTTTAAACGTCTACCAGGTAACGCCATTAAGTGATCGTGGATGAATCGAGTAACGTCGGTCTGTAAAATTATATAAATTTTAACGAATTAATGTCCAAAGTGAATTATACGAGTCCATATACAAAATTTAAATTTCAATAATTTCATTGCAAGTCATCCGTTGGCAAATTTAATTCAGTTACTTAATAGATTATTAAATTATAATAAGTAGGATATCAAGGATCTAATTAATAAATTTAATTTTGATTTAAGCTTATATAATAACTTAAATAATAAAACTATAATATATGAACTATAATCGCGAATATTCCATACAAATTCGTAAAACACAAATATATAATTAACTCTTTTCCTGAGGTGTTTCACCTTATGTGTTTAAACGCGGACATACATACATATGTACATATATAAGTACCAGTATATGCATATGTAGGAATGAATGCAGTAATAGATTGATGCATATCAATTCGGTAACTGACGTACATTTAGCTACATATAACCGCAATAAGCTCATTGTGCACCTACTTATACGAGAGAGGCTAAATCGAACGGCTATAAAAGATATACATACATATGTACATACTCTTCGCGCATAAAAACACATTCCATATGTTCCTATATTGAGTGCGATAAGTTGTTGTACTTACTTATGTATTAAAATAAAACATTCATTTTATCACAACGTTGAGTATCATAATTATGTATAGATATTTCGGTTTAATTTTTGTTTGGAAGGTAGTGTCCTGCTTACCCTAATTTTTGTGTATTTTTGAGGGATTTTAATTGATCTGCTAATGAGAAATTTTGTACATATGTATAATTCTGTATAAATACTTTTAGATCCGGCCACGCATTGCTGTGGCCATGGTATACTTGTACATTAACTTCTATTATAATAAACTATTAAATACAATGAACATAATATTTACGAATAATGCTGTAAACGATATTACCGGTATAAGAATCCAAGGGATTGTGCTTGAGGTTTACTTTTAAAAATGATTGATACAAATATTTGTCAATGGACAATTTATTGCATTTCCAAAATCTAAACCGAAATATAGACAAGGCGAAAAGTGAACCAATGGGAAACTTTAGCCTTCTGAAAATTGGTCTGCGGCAAAAAAAACCATTTCTTTACTAAATTTCCTAGTCAAAATGGGTGACTCAAGAGCATTTCCGGCGATTATCGTTGCCTTTTAAATCTTGCATTGTCCTGTGCAGTGCTTCAAGTAATTTTTTACTCAAAATTATAATGATTAATGTTTTTTTAACATATGTTTATGTTTAGAAATGCATTTTTTAATTGTTTTTACTTTTAAAATAATTGACATATAAACTATCCTATCTTTTAAGCTGAATTAAAGTGATACAATGTGCTTAATTTTACTAATATCGGTTCAGTAGTTTAAAGGGACACGTAACTTTATGTAGATAATGTTTTTTCTTTCGATCCCATCCCTTCCCTAACGATACAAATTACAACTAAGGAAGGGTTAAGTTACGGCATATGAATTTAACGACATATATATATATAAAACATGGAATACATACTTGGTATATTATTTTATTATAATTTTGATGATGATATGATAATGAACTCTCTTAACTTATGTACTACATTTTGTTTTATATCCTAATAATTAAAATATTGAAATCAGCCTGATTAACAAATATCAATAATATAATAATAATTAACATATTCATCATACTAGTGTTATGAGAAGGTACACAGATATCACTAAATTTTAAAACCGGATGAAAATATATCAACCCAAACATTGCCGGTTCTCACAAGGGCTCCTTTTCGAAAGAGGCGAATAAAGATAAAAATTATATAATAAATAAAATGTTTTTCTGGTTCAAGTTGCCGGGCTCATTTCGCTCGTGTGAACGCAGTGAGCGACACAAAAAGAGAGTTGACCAATAATGAGCGACAAAAGAGTTCGTATGTAAACCCAGTCTTTTGGCGGCAGAAATCTTCGTCTTACGTCCAGTACAACAATCGAATTAAAAATTATCAGACGTGTATGTACGTATTTAATTTCGCGTTACTAAAGAACTTTTGGGAGGGTTCAGTAGTGCATAATCAAAAAGTAGCGTGATCTCTCATATGCAAAATTATAGTTCTAAACTGCATTTTAATTTCTATATATGTACATACTTACATACATTTAATCATGTCGTGGCAGAAATTTATTTGCAATTCAATTCAATTAAGGAACAAATTTCACATTCAATTAAAATTTTACAACTTTTTTCATTTCAGCCTGCATTTTTCTTAAATTATTTTGTTTAGTACTCGAGTTCGAGATTAAAATGATTTGGGTCGCGAAGCCATAACTAAAAAATAGGCGGAAAAGTGAAAACATATCTATTTAAAATTGGATACCACCGAACAACATTTAACCGTCCTTTCTTCAACAATCAATAAATGTTAAGCATAAGGGAATCTTTGTTTAACAACAAAATATACAGTTAAATACATATCTAGTGTAAAACATATCGAAACTAAAATGACAACAAATCAAACAGATTTGCATCTGAAAAAAATTACTGGAAGTGAATATTTGGATGCAGGAAATGTGGAAGGTAAATAATAATATCATCAAAAATAACAAAATTGTATCAAAATCCATATATTACATATACATATGTATATTACTGTGAACCCCGGTAAGGCCCAATCAAAAAATGGCTGGATTTAACACAGTTTTTCAGTTGCTTCAATTCAAAAGATAAAATCTGGATTTAGTTCGTATAACGAGTTTTTCTTATTCTCTTACTTCCCATTCCATATTTCCCTTAATTCCCTTCACAACGGAATCTTGAAACTATTATTCATTATTAAGTTGCTTGCAGCCTACGTCAATTTAAATCAATTTTGACAAGTAGTTCGTGTGATCAACTCGACCATTTTTTAGTAATAAATTTTATTTGGTAATATTATTAAAAAGCGAAGATTTGGAAAGCTAATAAACTTCCCGGTTAGTTGGCATCCAGAATCGTCTTATTAACTAATTTATCCTTAGCATGATCGTACTTTTAAAATGCAACAATATTAGAGAACTCTCCCTTTTCAATTGCTTTTAGCAAAAAGGATGTTACAGAAATTGATCTAAAAAAACTAGTCCGACTGGAAGATGAACACAGGTAGTCTATATCAGCGGTGCTCAAGTCATATCTAACTTGGCTCCGGTTGGTTCCGAACAACATCAAGTGGCTCCGTTTGGATCGTAACAACATCACTTGGGGGTTGTTAAAGTATTCCGTGACGCTCCTTAGGGGGAAGAAGAAGACGTTAATGGTACGATTTGTTACTAAGGGAGCTGGAAGGTGTTTTGTCTTTTGTTGCGTTTCTTTTGGATTAACAAACAGGTATCAGCAGGATGTTTACATTTATAAATTAGGCGCAAAGTTTATCGCCTATCCCAAACCATCGATTGCCAAAGGTAAATCTCCTCGATAGATGCGAGATATTTAAGTGTGTTTTGTAATCTGACTTTGCCCGTTAATCTTTGTTTACCTGTAAAAATCACGTGAAAATGCAAATTGCAATTAGCAATTGTTTGCTATGTGTAAAAAAGCTCATCGGAGCAAAACATCAAAGCAATGCCAAGAAGAAGTGACCGAATACGGATTTGAAATTCCAGAGCTGCTGAGATTACAGCAGTCTAATTGTTGAAACAGATATACATGTATATTTTAGTTTTAATATTGTATTCATATACGAATGGAAAATAGTAGAAGAATAAATAAAATAAAATTTTTCTCTGTACCTTACATGGCTTGTTAGATTATTAATATAATTATTTATGCGTTTAACAAGTTTAAGTTTTAATGAGTTATAACACATTTTTTGGTCAAATGTGATTTTTCCGGCGTTGCGTAACAAATGATCTCAGGAAGGGGGACGAACAGAACGTTACGATTTGTTAGGTGGAGGGGGAAGTTGTCACAAACAGCGAAAAATCGCGCTACGAAATACTTGAACAACCCCTTAGAACAAACACACTTTTTTTTAAGAACAATACGCAAAACTATCACAGCCAGCAAGTTGACTTGCACTGGTGCCATCTGGTTCGGTGTTCACTTAGCTATAGAAAACACTGCTCTATTGTTAGGTCAGTTGAAATATAGTTTTGATTCGAAGTATTTCTTGTCATCCTGAAAAATATTTTGCGGTAATTTTTATTTATGTTGTTATGTGGTTCCGTTAAATTTTTTGGTCACCCCTAGAGTAGCAAAAATGTCGTCTATTCTGGCTACTTTAAAAGGTTTGATAATTTTAATAGCACTGACATTCATTTCGAGCAAATATTAAGCAACTTATAAACCCAAGAGCCGGAGATGTAGTATATAGGTACATACATATGTAATGTACACACAGCCATATTTAAAACTATAATTAAAATCTAATACTAAACTAGAGATATAAATCAGAAATATATATATATATACATATATTCTTTATTTTATTTAGCTCAGTTTTGTAAAATTTCCTTATAATATTTGTTTAACAAAACTTTGCAGAGATCAAACTGTATAAACGTCGTTGGGTCGTTTTATTCCTGTTTGTATTTTACTCGGGTGCTAATGCTGCTCAATGGATTCAATACAGTATTATCAACAATATTATTGTTAAGTAAGTTTTCTTTAGTATACTGTATATATTTTCTTTTAAATGATTATTAAATGTTCTAAAATTCGAATTAATCGTTTGCATTGACACAAGCCCCTACATACATGTAGATAAATGTATAATATAATGAAAGTACAACACTAGTGAAATATGCATACATAGCTACAGTTTATAACACCTAATAATTTGTCCATACTGCTGTTAACTTCTAATTATATTTTTAGGTATTATGGCATTAATGATAAGTGGGTGGATTGGACTTCAATGGTATACATGATAGTTTATATACCCCTAATTTTTCCGGCGAGTTGGTTTCTTGATAAAATGGTAAGAGGAAACAGAAATTAAAAAAATGTATTTTATTCGGTTCAGGTACACATCACACACAGTCATTAGTAATACATTAAAAAGTAATAAAAAAGTAGTTAAAAGATAATTTAGTTTTATTAAAAAAAACTGTATATCCAATTTTTTATTTAAAATCAATTTTAACTCTAACGTCAGACAATTTTATGTTTACATACCTACAGTTTCCGCCAAACTTAAAGCACAAAACTTACCATAGTGCTATCCAAAAATATAAAGGTTTTAACAATTGCAAAAGTAAGTTTTTCTTATTATTTGAAATATTAAAGAAAACTGAAAAATGTATGCAGTTAGATGTGCATGTATGTATGTAGGTGTACTTTGAATACCCGTTTAAGCCTACTTCTTGTTCCCATGAAAAATTATTTGCTACACAGTACTTTTTTAATATTATGGAACGTAATTGAATAAAATATTTGTTTTAATTGTTGAAATTGAATTAAAAAATTAATTAAACGTAAAATTATGAATTAGATTTTTGGCTAAAGTTAAGTTTAACAGATCGTTTTTGCAGCACACTTTTGTATTCTTTAATCACGTACCATAATATCTTAAAACTGCGTTGACACACAAAGAATTTTGTTGCCCAAACTCCCAGTTTGTTGGCGAGAAGGTCACGAGGAAGGATGAAGAGCACCGAGTTGCTTGTGCTCGGCCAACACCCTTTTTATTCTTGTTCGTAATAGTTCGCTGCTGCACAATTCGGCATATAATTTCATTTAGAAATTCTCTCCAAGGTTGCAATCGCCCTCGGATTCGAATGAATGCTTTCAATATGTTCGGTAATTAGAATTTTAACATCTGCTTTTTGTATTTTATATGCAAATATGTATACAAGAATGCATTATGTACAAGTATATTATATAATATGTATAGTTTTGTATATATTTTATTTATACTATGTATACGAATTTTTAAAAAATGGTGAATAATCCCTAGCTACCGAATCCATTCTGACAAGTTAGAGTCGGTTCAAAAACAATTTTTACTTTTCGCCTTAGCGCATTTCCGATGGGATTCTAGGGCAAGTCTACCTCCATACACTAGTCGTTTAAAACTTATTAATCTACCTACACTTTCTAGTCGTAGGGAAATGCTTGGTATAATATTCTTAGTGAAAATCTTGAATGGAACAGTTTGCAGTTCTTTTCTCCTGTCTGAAATTAAATTTAATATCCCGGTTCGCCTTTCGAGGCAGTTTAGACCTTTACTGCTAAAATCCTGTAGATCAAATTTTTTCACATTTGACTTATCTGACCCACTTTTCAAAATTAAAAAGACTTTATTGTTTTCTCTTAATAAATGAATATGTAACAATTTATTATATTGTAACTTGGATCTTAGCTGTTGAAATTTTTGTTTCTGTAGCTGAGCAGTTTTAGATCTCAACACTTAAAAAACTCTCTTGCCTTTTCTGACTCGGCTAATTCCGCACGTATGCGGATTGCGCCCCTCGCGTCGGTTGGGCGGGAGGAGGGTAATCGTTAGGTTATTAATTAAAAAAAAAAAATTAACTAGTGGAAAATACTTTTCTACACCGCGTATTTAAAGCGTACCAGAATTTGAGGACATGCACAGCAAAAGATAATTTTATAATAGAGCAACAAAAATCTTCGTGTATGAACCTTACTTATCTTACTTGTTACTTTCAGGGGCTACGGATAACAGCATTGGTGGGCATTGTTGGCACATGTGTCGGCTCATGGATTAAAGTATTTTCTGTACAACCGGATCTTTTTTATGTCACATTTATTGGTCAGACTATTGTCGCGTTAGCCCAGGTTTGTATTCAAATGACAGAATATCATATCCAATCCTATTATAGTTACCTAATTTGTTACATTTATTACCATTTTCAACATTCACAATTAGATACAAGATTGTTTTTAGGTACAACGATCCTAACATGCCTATGTTACAGTGCAAAAATGGTTGAAATCGGATTGCAACCACGCTTACTTCCCGTATAAGACCAATTTAAATTCCATCTGATTTTTTGACTTTCCAGTATACAAATCAAGCACTAATGAATATATTGAAATACATCTTTGCAATAAGAGTGCCTTCAAGATATGCCATCTCAAGTCTAAAACTTGTCAAAATCGGGCCATAACTGTTCAAGTCCTCATATACCGAAGATGTGGACCCCAGTGTCCATGGTTGATTTTTTACCGAAATTATCGTTCAATGTATGAAATATACAGCATTTATCGGCTAATATGTGAGTTATCTTAATAAAATAGAGAGGGCGTGGTTTTCTAATAACGGTGCAAATGTGTGCTTAAAATGGATTAAATCGCGTTAAAACTTGTCCTAGCCCGCATTTAGCTTTTATCAGGATTTTCAAAAAGGAGGATTTTCAGGATCCGGTTGACTTTACTATGTGAGGTACCTTAATGAAACACAGAGACATATGTAGTAATGCCAAAAATAGATAAAATTAGGTCAATACTACCTCTATCTCTCATGGCTTTGTGCCGTATATAAATAAGATAATGTATGTTTAAATATGCAAAATTGGTACACGAATCACCGTATAATACATATATGATTTTCGATATTTCTCCGGCTTTGATCCTTGTCAGTTGCAAAAGTATAAAATGTTCGGTTACACCCGACATTATCCTTCCTTACTTTTTACTATAATTTTCTATGCTATTGTGTAATTTTTTTAAATTTCATTTGAAGGTATGCGTTTTGTCATTACCCGCACGCATCGCCGCCGTTTGGTTTGGACCTCATCAAGTATCATCAGCGTGTAGTGTGGGAGTATTTGGCAATCAAGTAAGTATTTATCTAATTCAATTATGATATAAAGCGTATATATAATTTATTTCATAACGAATATTACAATTTTAGTTGCGAACGTTACAGTGTAGTATTGTAGGAAATTACTCTACTTACTTATGCTCGTGCATATAAGAAGATAGTGAATATATGAATATATCGGGATAAAACTTTGCACAAATAACATAGTATCTCTAATGTACCTATACCATCTCGCGTCTAAAAATTGTCAAAATCGAACCAAAACTATTTAAGGGGTTAGGGGTAGTCAGAGGCACGAAAAAATAAGAGTTTTCAGTAATTTTTTTTTGCTATTAAATCATGTTATTTTACAAAAGTAGTAATATGACATTATTATACAATGTTTTGACTTGAAGTCACGATTTTTTTATTTTTTTATTAGATAAATATAATTTTAATTACTATAGTTATAGCAGTCTGTGTTGACCCAGTTTCAAAAAAATGTCCTTGCGGTGACAGTCATAAGTCCTTGGAGATTCATCTAAAATCAATCGAATAAAAAAAATTAGTTTTATAAATAGATAATCCTGGGCTTATTCGAAGCTTTTTTTTCAAAAATTATCAACTTAATCTTCGAAATGAAAATGTTAAGAAGCCCATAAACCCATATAAATTCCATAAATGCATACATTGTTCCTTATTTAGTTCTTTCTATTGGATGTTCAAAGCACTTGAATTGTATTTTTAGAAAATATTTTAAAAATGTTTTGAAAAGAAAATGGTAAATGGCAATTCTAAGCAAAAGTGATCACAAATATGAATGTTCTACCGGGTTACCTATACAATTAACATAGGCACATTTACAAGTTTTTAATGGGTGAACATATGTATGTACATAAGAGACTATTTCTATACACAATTTGCGTAGGAGCACACACCACTGATCCAACACTAACACTCGATTCAATATAAAATAAAAGTAAGTGGCTCGATAAATCAATAATTTTAGTTTATTCCGCATTTACTGGCAATGTATTTTACATTAACGAAATTAAATATATAATATAATAAATGATATTATATTTATTTGAGGATGGAATCGAACGCAGTGGGGGGTCGTATCGAATTGATGCGGTAGCGCGCAGGAACTGTTGTCTTAACGAATGTTGATGTGGCGCTCAGGCCCGTAGACGATAAGCGAATGTTTTCGAATGTCTAGGATCGCTGTATTGGCGGTCTAATAAGCGAATGTAGATTTAGCGATGATCCCGTCCTTTTTTTTAGTTGTACAGGTGCCGTGTTATGGTGTGTTGTGTTGTCCTGTGTGGTGTGGTTTCATCGGGTGGTGAGAACCTGTGAATGTTCTCAGGTGTGGTGTGTTGCATTAGGGTGCGCCAGTTGTTACTGTAGAGAGTGGTAGTACTGAGGCTTAGCTCATTTAAACATTCTGGGCCTCTTAGGTGAATATTTTGCCTAGTATTACACATATTGGCGGTAAATGATGTCATTATTTTGCCTTGCTGCTGGTAGAGTAGCTGAGGGCGCAGAATGTTAAGTGTAAGAAGCGATTTTGGTTTTAGTCGATATGAATTTTGATCTACCATAGGTATTGATGCACGATGTAAGCAACTTTATTTTGCGTGTTTATTGATTTACTATTTTGATGACTGGTTATTATAGTAAAGGTATATGCGTTTTTGTGTTTATTATTTTAATTGGCGGTTATTTTAAATTTATTTATTATGGCTTAGTAAGGATAAGGAGTCGCTCCACGCCTGGCTCAGATATGGCCAAAATGGGTGCTTTGAAAACATACCCTGGGACTAGGGCTGTGAAATCGGAGGGATCTTGGGAGATTACAATGTTTGGCCGAAATGAGAACGGCTTCATTTCGAGTTAGTAATATGGTAAATTCGTCATAGTTAGATTTGTAAGCTCCTTTTTTTTCACGTGAAATTTGAAGCTTTTACAACTTATTTCCATAAACCACCGATATCAGCAGGGTTTAGATAGATGTGATAAGTACGACCTTTGCTTTTTGTAGGTCTAGGTGCGTCACTGTTTCGAATTGGGAGTCCCTTAACTTTATTTTTAAATTGTTTTATAATTATGAAATTTTAGGCAACTATGAGCCACTATAGTAAGATAGGTGTCGATGTTTCGACTTTCTAGAACTATTATGCTGCGAACACTATTATCATTGGACGTGGGCGATTGTGGCCAAGAATCGGGAGATTCGAATACCATTTGGATTGTTTGAGAATTGGTGAAAGCCATCTTGCATGAATACTGGTCAGATATCACATTCAATTGGATCTCCTGTATTTATTTATTATGTTGTACTACCCTTTTCAAATTTAAGGAAATTAGTGGACAACAAATTTTCTTTTGGAATATTTAGTAATATATTGGGATGATTTGGTTGAATTATATATATTTGTGTTTTTAATACTGGGGTTGTCAGAAGAAGCTCTGGCTTGGTTTTTTGTGCCAATTTTTAGAGTGTTGAAAAATTGTGGCTTTGGTGGTAGTCGTACGACGTACCGGCCATTATTTGCTTGCTATTTATGTGATAGCTTGGAAGCATTTTAGTAAGTTGCGGTAGGACTATAGCTTCTGCTACAATTCGCATATTCGCTTGAGGGGAAATTAGGGTAATGGGGCAGATTTTGTGTGAGTTTTGGACTCCTCTTCCGCCTATTCCCGTAATTTCAAAATCGGATTGTTTTGATTGCAGTTTTAGCCTATTTTGTGCCCTAGACGCTATGAAGGATTTTTGTGATCCTTGGTCTATTAAGGCTCTTAGTTTATAGAGTTCTCCTCGATGTTCGATGGAGATGACAGCTGTGGGTAGTAATACCCTATTTTGTATTTTGCTGTGTAGCGTTTGAGTGTTTTGTACCTTTGAGCAACATGGTGTCTTTTGGGAATTTTCGGGATTTGCTTTTGCAATTAAACCCGTGGTTCTTTTCTTATAAGCGCTGCTTTGGGGTGAGCTAGGAAATGTGCTGTAATGAATCATTAAGTGGTGTCTTTCATGACAACAGAAGCAATTATATTTGCTGTTACAGTCTTTTTGTTTTCACAAAATTGTTCCTATCGACAATATTTAATTTTTTGAATTTTTCGCATGATTTAAGCTTATGCCCTCCTGTACACAGTTCGCATGACGTTTGTTTATACTGTTCGGATGTGAACGATTTATTTTTAAAAAAGCTTCTATTTAAATTGTTGTTACTAGTGGTTTGGGGTCTATTGAAGCTTCTGTTGAGATTGTTTTAAACGTTTATAGTTCTAACTAGTTTTTTATCTACCCTTTCATATTGGGTAGTTAGAAATTCTTTCATTTGTTGCCACGTGGGACATTTTTTCCGAGATGAGAGCGATTGCTCCCACAAAAGTAACGATTTTTCTGGTAATGCTACGTTGGATACATTTACCAGAATAGGGTCCCAGCTGTCTGTGGGAATATTTTGTGTCGTCATTTAGTGCGAACTGTTTGACGATGACGCCTGCTTGACCTTTTGTTTTGTATCGGAAGTGATAAAATGTTTGTGCATTCCTGTTTTCGGCTTTTTCAACAATTTTGCTTGTTTCAAATGTTTGTTTGTACACGTGTATGTATATGTGGATGTACATATGCATATATTTTTATGCCACTGCCCCCGTATGATCTGTCACCACACTTTTTTCATATGTGAATATGTGCCACTGCACCTTTTTTGTTTTAGTTATATATTTTTTTTTGGTGTCACTGCAGTTTTTCCTTTCGTTATATATATATGTCACTGAGAATTTTTTTTTTTTGTTTGTTAGTGAATGATACCGAACTGTACTGTAAGCTTTTTTGGGTTTGTTAAAATCCCATAGTGCCTTTCACTAGGGCTCGAAGCACCATGACTATTTCTATACACAATTTGCGTAGGAGCACACACCACTGATCCAACACTAACACTCGATTCAATATAAAATAAAAGTAAGTGGCTCGATAAATCAATAATTTTAGTTTATTCCGCATTTACTAGCAATGTATTTAACATTAACGGGTCAGTGGGGGCCAGTTATTACCGGAGAGAGTGGTGGTACTGAGGCTTAGCTCATTTAAACAATAAGTATAAAAATATTTTACAAGTAAGTGAGTGTACATTGGACATCCACTTAGGCGCAAAAAGGCGCACCAATGTCAACTGCATTATAAGCATCAACAAACCCTTGAACAACGCTTTTATGAAAAACTGAATTTCTGTCGCGGTGTTATCGTATCCGTAGAATCTTCAGCAAGACTCGAATGAAAAATCTGGTTTTTTGAAAATTTACAGTCCTTGCTACTAAATCCCGTAGTTTGCTAACAAATAAATAATGTAGAATATCGTGCTATTTTACCGAACGCAACTTTCCTGATAATAGCAGAAATCGTCGTTTTCTCCTGGATTTTCCTACCTATATGAAGAAAAACTTTCTACGTCTTACTAACGCTGTCAATCTGTAGAATGAAGAGAAGATTCGCCGCAGAGAGTGACATATACGAATCGTAAAAATAAGTTATGGCAGTTCCATAATATGATAGTTCCATGAACTCACCGCAGCTGCAAAAAACTTTGCAAAAAAGTGTTTCGTTGATGTATCTGATAAGTTGTCCAATGAAGCTATTCACCTTAGAAACGCTTACGATGCAAATTTTGAAACCAGTCTTACTCCATACATTTTACCCAAATCTTTGCATAGCTTTGAAAATATTTTGTTTAGAGCTTTAGCAAGGATCAACAATTTTTCTCGATCATGCTTGTCACAAGGCAGGATTTTAGGATTAGCTAGACTGTACCTAGAGACAGAATTAGCGAATAAGTTGGATTTCCAGACAATTATCGACGCATTTGCTGCCGCAAATAATTCTAAATAATTGAGGATTGGAGGATTTTAAACGAAAACTTAATCATGATAATCAACATATTTCAAAGAACCGTTTTTTAATTAATTAACACTCTACGTCGTATTTGACATATTCTTCAAAAATATTGAAGTAGTAAGTGGGAAGTTAGTTAATAAACTTTATAAGGTATTAGAAACATTCCTGTAGATAAAGGGCCCCACCTTTTTACCCCTGGGTCCGGTTTTTCTCCCGGCGGTCGTGATCAGAGTTGGCAAATAATATATAGCCTTAAAACAGAAAAAAAGTTAACTACGGCTTTACCAAAGCTATATCCCTATGTCATTGGTCCCAACAAATGATTAGCTGAAGGAAAAGAACGTGTACACAGTGTTTCAGATCGATATCTCAAAAACTGACCGACAGACAGACATTGCTAAATCCACCCAACTCAATTTATCTATATATATATATATATATATATATATATATTTACTGTTATTTATCTGTTCAGGGCATAAAAAGGTGAGCATTACTCCGTTCCCTAATAATCTTTTAATATAAATCACGTTCATTATGCTAAAAGGTTAAAATAAAAAAAAGAACAACATTGGAAACAAAGCTTGTAAGTTTATGTTGTCGATTAGCATTGTGGGTCCGCTTGTCCTTTCGAAAGAGAATCGAAGTGGGGTCGCGCTCTATAAAATAAGTTAACAAACTTGTGTAATCAGTGCATAACCTCACTTAAGAACTAATGTTGATTTTTTAAACACTATTTTCATAGTCTTGTAACATGTGCAAATGATTTGTTTCCTAAACGGTTGCTTGTAATACCAGAGAACATACAATACTAGGGGCAGTGTTGACCCGATTTTATTATTTTTTAATGTGGGGTTCATCATCTGATTAACCCAATTTCACAGGACATGAAGAGGTGATAGAAAAACTTACTCCTCAAATATTTCTGAATATGACATACACTTTTAATTGATGGTTCCCAGAATAATAGAATCCCCCAAAATAATGAATAATATTAAATAGGCGTGGATATTGATATATTTTATATAATTTTGTTCAGATATCTCAAACACACATTAGGGTGTGTCAAAAAACGAATGTTTTTTTATTTCGCTTGGTACTCCGAAAAATTGGTTTGTTCTCACCAAATATCAGCTCTTAATTGTAACAGGAAGGTCCTTCGCTTCACCGTTATCTATTTTTGCTCCACCAAAAATTTTATTTTCTTATTTTTTGTGTTTTTCTTTAATAGGCATTGATGTTTGACGATGAATATCTCGTAAACGCTTAACTTAATCGAAAAATTGCACAGACCATTTTTGTATAGCAGTAAATTTCATACAAAACTATGAGTTTTGCAATTTAAACTGATGTTTTTTTATTAAGTTATAACATTAAAAAGAAAAAAACAAATTTGTCTTAAAATAGTCAAACATTAACCGTTAATATCTTTTAAACGGTAAAGCGGTGAACTTTCCCGTTACAATTAGAAGCTGATGTTTGGAGAGGTACCAGTTTTTCGGACATATAAGCGTTTTTTTCCCCCACCCTAATACACACACATTTATGAATTATATCAATTTCTCATACAACTGAGATATTTGATATAGACACGCATTTACATAGTATAAAGTCTATTAGGGGAATAAAGATCTTCATAATCGGGATATGAGTCCTAGTACCAGGTATGGACCTATTATATGATTATTAGTACCAAACTATGTTATTCTCAAAATGACTTATTTAATTTAATAAAGACAAATAGAAATCACGTTGATCCATTTTGTATCAATTATGTATAATCACAGATACTGCCATAAGAGATCGTATAATACTATTTGACTATATACATACGGACTTATAGTTTTATTTATGAATGTATGTATGTACAAATGTCTATAATTTTTAATATATTTAATAATATTATTTTTGTTAACTTTTACTATTCATTTCCAGCTTGGCATTGCTGTTGGTTTTGTGCTACCTCCAATTTTAGTAGGAAACTCGGATGATCTAGAAGTAATCGGGAGTGATTTATTATTTATGTTCTACTGTTTCGCAGGCTTTACAACCATTTTAATGGTGCTGATGATATTTTGTAAGATGATACTTCTATATCCAAATATTTATTATAAACACTTTTGTTTCTACTGATCTTTTCAATCTCCGATCAATGAAACATTTTTTATTTTTCCATATATATTTTTTTCTGCAGTAAGCATTAACCGGTATATTGTGATATTTCTTAGATCAACACACAAAACAATAATAGGAATTAGATATGAACTGTATACATTTTACAGTTACAACGTCTCTCTAACTTCTTTTGCAGTGATCTTTAAATTATGGCTTTCATTAGCTCTCTAAATTTTAATTTTTCTAAGTATTAAGATGGGCGCGCAAAATTTGGACAAGTCAAGACATCAATTAGTCAGCTGGATATAGCCGAAAAATATGTTCGTAGCCAGACTGTTGTGATAAGTCTAAAACTCAAAGCACTCTGTGCTTAAAATTGAAATAAAACAAATATGGAAAGGCTAATCTCGGGTGTAACCGTACATTTTACACTCTCGAAATTTGTAAGGATCAGAGGCGGTGAATTATTAATTATTTAATATTATAGGTCATAAGCTCACTTAGTTCTATTACAACATTTTGCTTTGTTTATATTAAAATAAACCTAATTAATTCAAATGGGGTATATGAAATATCAACTAAACCAAAGTGACTAAAATTGGAATATTGTCTATACGAGAAAGAAGTCAATAAACATAAGAATGTATTGTATTATGTTTAAGAAAACATATCCACTTAATTTCATTACAATATCACACATTTTCATCAACATAACATAACATAAACGGTTTCAGGTCAGGTGGAAAACCGGAAATCAGGTTCGAGAACATACATACGCAATTTTATGAAGACAACTAACGCAATAGCAGATATATTCGACGTACAGTCTCTTAGAATTATTAAAGTCATTATATGTAGTACATGAAAGCTAAGGTAATCATAGACCAATTCCACACATTTTCAGCATAAAACTATAATAAATATATATTATATTATAGGTTCACTTAATTTTGCTAAGATATTTTACATATTGACCGAAATTGAAATATTATTAACATAAAAGGTATTTTATGAGTGTCATAGATTTACCAATATATTATATGTACATATGAAGTATATGGTACTAAGTCAACCACATATTGCCAGATTTTGACAATTTTTAGACGTGATATGGCAAGCCTTGTACGCACTATTTGCTCAAATTCTTATTTCGATATCCTAAATTATCTTTACACTGATTCTTATAAAACCTTTAAATACCATCTTAACTGTGAAATTTAATGCTTCTAACGTATTTATTTAATGAGTTATCGCACTTTTTGTAGTTTTCAACATAATCGTTATATGGGGTTGGGCATGCATTCGATTTTACTTTATAATTTTTCTTTTAATGGCATTTTGGGAGCGTTGCAAATGGTCAAGTCTTAATTCGCCTGCACGGAATAACGGACAAACATACTATCAATCGAAATTCAACGCTTCTCGCCATTCTGATCATTTTGATAAATACAACTCTATATCTATCGCGATTAGTTTTAGGTATTACAAACAACAGTTTGGTTAACGATAATATTATACTTTATCCAACATGCTTCGAGAGTATAAAACATGTACATATGTAGGTGTATGCACTTTTTTTGATTGTTTAATATTCAGTGCTATAATTTTCTAACCTTAATACTTATTATATGCAGGCATCTTTTTATACTCGGATATGCTTAAATTAATTTTTTAACTATGCAGTTTTTAGGGATAAGCCGCCGACACCGCCAAATCCAAAACGATCTATGATTCCTGCCGCTGGTACGGATACTGAAGCATCTTTTAAGCAGTCGTTGAAGAGTTTGGCTCTTAATCGTAATTACATACTGCTTTTAATTTCCTATGGTATGAATGTCGGCGTTTTCTATGCGATATCAACTTTGCTAAATCCAGTAAGTTCAAGTTTAGTAACCTTTACAACATACATAATATTGTATCCAAAAAAAGTACTTTAAAAACAAAAAAATAAAATTACATGTTAATTGCCACAGAAAAGAAGAGAATTCAGGAAAATTATTTATAGAAATTTCTTCGAAGTCTCCATATTTAACGATTTTTTTTATAAATATCATTTTCTATTTGTACGAAAACACCAAACAGCTTGATTTTTATGAAATAACAATATATTTAATTGGCGCATAGAGTTTTGCAAATGAACTAATGCATATAACGGTGTTACTATCGTGTTTACTGTAGAAGGCACTAAAATCATACCAAAGTTTAAATTCAATACTTATTTTCAAATTTGGGTTCTCTTTATTTTTCATATACCATATGCACAATGTTCCATTTGCTCACTTGTCCTATCGGCTAACAGTGTGGGGCTAATTTAGTTTTTAGCACCACTAGTACTCGTAATACTATTTTTGTTTATTTGCATTTGAATCTATGTGCACTTGAAAAGTCAAAAAGAATATTGTGGACATCAATCCCAGGTTATGTAAAACCACCATTTTTGCCCAGACGAAAGACGAAAGGACTCATTTAAAAATGTTTCCCAATATATTATCGTTTTCGATTCGCTAGAATTTGGACAGCCAATATCTCTGTATCAACAAAATCTGCATCAAAACAATATTCCTTTCTTACAAAAATGTAAGCTTATATTTTTAATTTAAGTAGTAATTTGATCAATTTGATTTTCCTACATTTTATATTATTGGGCTATGAAAAATAATTAATATATAATATTTGATCGTTTATTGTTTAAAATTTTTATACAAATATATTTTCCTAGGTTGTGCTCAAATATTATCCGGGACATGAAGTTGATACCGGTCGCATTGGTTTGTCTATTGTTCTTGCAGGCATGATCGGTTCTGTTGTAAGCGGTATTGTCCTGGACCAAATGCGCAAATTTAAGTAAGTTCACCTTTTTCATCATTTTGGATATAAGGGAACCCCAGAGGGGGGGTTTTTAGTGACCTGCAAGCGGCACATACCGTTGCTGCGACGACAGCAGTGAGGATGCGGAAGGCATTTTTCACCCCCTCAGCCGCAAAAAAAAAGCAAAACAAAAAAAAAGTTCATTTGATTAATGTGACAATAGTCCAATCAAGGAAAGGTCGTCTGGAATCTTTAATATGTTTCTTTGTAAACTTTTACAAGCAAAAAATACTTTAATACAAAATAAATTAAAGCAGAGTCTAATATTGAGAATCATTTATCTTTTTTCCTTCCGAAGACATTGATTTGATATGAGCAAGGATCATTAGCAAAAATCATTTACAAACTACAATAGCCTAAGGGGTGAACGGCAATTTAAATACACTATGTATTCTGTTTTACTGTCATAGATACATTTTAAATTGGGGAATTTGATGAACACTAGTCGCATTTATTTTTTGCGAACTTTATACATACGAGGACATATCTAAATCAAACAGTACCTCTAAGGAAGATGTATTGTCCACTGTTTCGATTGATTAAATAATTCAAATACTTTATTATATTTAAACTGCCTTATTCAATGTAATTGATTATCTTGAAATTATTTTTATAGAGAAACCACCTTGGCTGTCTATGCCTTGTCAATGGTTGGCATGTGGGTATTTACATTTACTTTAGATACGGGTTATATCGCTGTGGTCTATGCGACCGCTGGACTTTTAGGGTAAGTACAGGAGAAATAAAATCTTATACAAATTCCTTTTATGTATTTTTGTATACGAATATTTTATTGATATCGTTTAGAGATCATTATTTATGTTATTTACAAATCATCAGAGCATTGCAATATTAAATATCATTTTTTATATTATTAGCAAATCATCAAGATATCGGAAAACTAAAACAATAAATGTCAATTATCAGTTAACGCTTCTTTTTAAACATACATCTATTTATACACATGTAATATTTAGAAGCAAACGGCACCACTTTCTCGTCTACATTATGGTAGTCGTTGTTATACATACATATGTATATTGAATTTACGTAGAATAGAAAATTGCTTCACAAAATCATGTGCAATTCAAATAAGAGTTCTTTTTCATGACAGATATTTTGTTTTAATACGAACTTTTCCGCTTACTCTGTTTCTAAAAAAATTATAACAAGTAAGGAAGATGTAAGTTCGGGTGTAACCGAATATTTTATACTCTTGGAACTGGCAAGGATCAAAGCCGGCGAATTAACGAAAATCATTTGTATAGTATATGAGAGGTTGTGTAATTCGTAGACCAATTTCACATATTTTCGGCATTAAACTAGAGTACTCTTACTTATATACGGTACAAAGCCAGGAGAGATAGGGGTAGTATTGACCCGCTTTTATCTTTTTTGACATTACTACATATTATTTACAGAAAAAGACGTTATCTGTGTTTCATTAATCATCAACCAGATGTTTGAAAATCCTGATATAAGGTAAATGGGGTCTAGGACAAGTTCTCATACGATTTAATCCATTTTAGGCACACAGTTGCGCCGTTATTAGAAAACCAGATCCGCTCAATTTGACCGATATATGCGGTATAAAGTCAGCCGGAAGTTCGAAAATCTTTCTATATAGGTATATTTTCACACTGTCGGTAAAGGTGTTAAAAAGATTTGTCCCTACCAAACAACAATCTTGTATCTTGTTATAGAGCTTAGTTGTTGTTGTTGTAATGTTTATCTAATCCCCGCTTGGGTGGTAAGTTTCAGTTTGGTGGTCGTCGAGGTCATTTAACGGGAGGTCCAGGAAACGAGCTGTTCCGACGGGGTCGGACCATAGGGAAATGGGTGTTAGGTGAGTGGGGTTCGTTGGGCATGCAAAGAGGTGGTAAGTGTCATGCGGAGACTCATTGCATGCAGGACATATATGTGCTTAGCATTGTGGAGCTTAGTTATGTCAGGTTATTGGTTTTTAATTAATGGAAAAGAAACATGTGTACATGTAATATATCTCAATTTTTACTCAAGTTACAGCACAGACAGACGGAAGAACAAACAGTTACCCGGATCATTTATATATATATAACCCTATATCTAATTCGATTAGTTTGAGGTGTACAAACAACCGTTAGGTGAATAAAACTTTGACTCTGTAGCAACATGTTGCAAGAGTATTAAAATCTAAAATAATACTGAGTAAGGAATCTTTTTAAATATATTGAAACTAATATTATAATATTAGATATCCACATAATTTAAAATATTTTGATTTTTGTTATTAACAATCAAATTTATTCGATTTTTTCAGCTTCTTCATGACCGGCTACTTGCCGGTTGGCTTCGAATTCGCCGCAGAACTTACATATCCTGAACCAGAAGGCACGTCGTCCGGGTTGCTTAATGCAGCTGCCCAAGTATTTGGTATTGGATTCACGTCTCTATATTCAGAATTATTCTATACCTACGGAGCTATTCCAGCCGATGTTATTATGTCTATTATGTTAGTGTTAGGCACGTTAATTACTGGGTTCATAAAACCGGATTTGAGAAGGCAAAATGCAAATCAAGAGAATGTAGCGACTGAATTCCCAGTTTCTGCCGAACATTGTCACCATCACATCTGAGAAGCTGAAGAATATTAATACGTAGAAATATTTATTTATTTTTATTATATAATGGTAAACCAGCACCTAAAGTTGATCTTCACATATTTGCAAACTTTAATGTTCGTTTTTTAAAAAGACAAATTTTAATATGAAAGTACCATCTCAATATACTGGAGGTGTCTGTTCCGGAATATAAACGAGTAAAATGTATATTTCTTTGTAAGTTTAATGCAAATTTAAGTGTTAAATTAGTTTTAAATATGATAGAACAGATTAAATATTGGTTGATAAACTCCTTCTTCGTGTATTTAATTTTGGCGAAAATTCCTTACGTTGATAAAAATAGCTTTAAGAAGTATGTTGTTGTTGTTGTAGGGGCAGAATTTTGCCGAGTTGACCGTCCTTGGCCGGAAAAAATCCGGGTCCGTTCCGGTTACGTAAACCCAACTGTTATGGGAACGGCTTTAAGAGGTATCTATGGGTTCGCTGATGCGGTAGACGATCATTAATAAATGCACACGTAAATGCTCAGTTAATCATGCACGTAAGGATGTCATTACAAGCAGTACTTTAATATTATTTTATACGTATATTTAATATTAATCTAAGAACCCAAGTAAGATCGAATGTCAGCCATCTGCTTGCTGAATGAAAAATATATTCGAATGAAATGTGTTGACGAGGTTTGCCTATAAAAATGTGGCATTTAATTAATTAAAATTACAAAAAGTAATAATAATTTTCTAATTTCACTAACTTGTATACCAAAGAAATTAACTTTGAATGAAAAGAATACAATATATACTACATTGTTTCCCTTTTTTTGGCACCTACTACCTGGTTGCCGTGTTCATACAGGGAACCCTTTTTAATTATATAAACATTAAGGAAAGTTTTTGGGTATTCAGTAATATATAATATAATGGTAGCTCGTCTTTGAAATCTGAAAATCGGGTCCACTGTGAATGGGGATCAGTGCGTATCTAAAGTTAGTTGCGTCACCACCCTGAAAGGAGCACTGTGGACTGACGGCTAAAATATCTCGCGCACTTCTTCGGGTCAGAGGAGGCATGGCCATCGAATTGAATTTCAACCCGATCAACATGTCTCTTCGGATTATACAAGACCTTGACAGTAGGCCAAAGCTTAATCAAAACGGTGGAGAGGTTACACGACTTCAGGTGCTCTACCCATTTCTTCCGCTTACACTGATTTACCAAATGTCTAATATCCAAGTTGAGATCCCTTATTCGGGGATCACAGGAATCGAAATGACGTAAGATGTTCGCGGAGGTCCGGGATGAAGCGAGCAGTAGCTGCCGCGATAACCTTGCAGAATTGTCGTTCGCCAACGATTATGTCGGTAGAAATGGGTAGTGCGGTGAAGGTGTTCTCAGTAAACTCTGTGAAGCCGATCTAATTAGCTTTGTTAAAGTTAACAAAGGTACGGTTGTCCCCAGAAAAAGTCAGAAGGTTTCTCGATCGAGGTAATTATGGGCAGATGGTCTGATGCGAGGGTTAGTATAGGTCGCCAAGTTATGCTTATTGCACAACTAAAATTATCTGAGCGGCTGTTTAACTTGGTTTCTTGGACCGCAGTTATCGATACGCGTTCCCGGCTCATATATGTAACTATCTCCTCGATCTTATTCTGGACTCTGTTGCAGTTAAACTGTTAGATTCGATTTTGTCGCGGGTGACTAAGGGTGATCCTGCAAGTGAGGAGTGGTGTATAGGAGGAGCCCGCAGCGGCGGTTGTCACACTGTGGTCGAGATGGCGACTACGACCGTTTTTGTTCCAAAAAAAAATTAATCCTGAAATGATAAAGGCATAAATGCAAAACAACCCGTGAGGAAATTCTCATAATTACATTATGTTAAATATGTACTATGAAGAAAACATTATTCGAATTATTAATTGTTAGACAGACATTTGAAAGACAACAAAACTTTTTTGAGACTGAATTTGTATTCAAGCAGAAGAAACAAAAATTATTTGAAAAAATTTATTTAAAAAAATTATTTAAAAAAGAAAAACAAGTAAGGAAGTTCTAAGTTCGGGTGTAACCGAACATTTTGTACTCTCGCAACTTGTAAGGGAAATTACGTCAGGTGTTGGCAAAATTGTATATTAAAGGAAGTATTGATCTGATTCAACCCATTTTTGACACAAATACATACTATTATAGAGAATTTCATTTATTTATTAAATTATATGAATTTCAATTATATATCTTACACATTGACCAATATTTTCGGTAAAAAGTCAACTACAGGCATGGGGTCCACATATTCAATACCTAGAGGCTTGAACAGTTTTGGTTCGATTTAGACAATTTTTGGTCACAAGGTGGCATACTTTAAACGCATTATTCACGCAAAGTTTTACCCCGATACACTCATTGTTGCTTGATTTGCTTAATGGAAAGTGAAAGAATCAGATGGAATTTAAAATGATGTTGTATGGGAAATAGGCGTGGTTGTAGTCCGATCGCACATTTTCGCACTATAACATAGAAATTTGAGAAGAATGTAATGTATCGAATTTCGCTGAAATCGGTTAAGCAGAACCCAAGATGTAAGTTTTTCCCTTAAAGTGAGCGGTGCCGCGCCCACACTCTAATTTTCAACGCGCTTCCTATAAAGTCATCTCATACCATCCCAGAGATAAAAGGTAATGTCTCTGGCGTGTATAGTGCTTTATTTACCGCGCTTTTAGTAGTTTTTAACAGTATCGTCACATAGGGAGTGGGTGGACTTGTCACCCGATTTCTTCCATTTTCACACTTTCGAAAGTAGTGCTAAAAACATTTTTTCCACAGATGCTCCTCCCTAATGTAATCCTGTATACCAATAACAGTCTTGTAGCTTATTTTGGAGCTTGGTTGTGGTAATTTATTTGTTTTCGATTAATGGCGTTTTGTTGGCGTGGCAGTGGTCCGATTACGCCCATCTGAAATACCAACCGGTACCAAGAAACATGTGTGCCAAGTTTCATAAATATATCTTAACTTTTACTCGTTACAGCTTGCAGTAAATCCAATTGGGAGAGTTTTAAACGACAAATAGACTGCATGTGATATTCACGGTATAAGTATTCATACAAGTCGAGTGTTACAAATAAAAGATTTTTATAATAAAAAATACATATGTATGTAGGTATAACTATTTTTTAGAAGAAAAATTTTTATAATATATTATATTATGAGGCCGGTTGAATAACAAATCAAAATGCGTAATAAAACTAGTTCTGATCTGACCTTTCTCGTTTTAGTTTTTCTGCACAACGATTTGAAAGCATTCCCTTAAAGTATTCAAAAAGTCATAAATTTACCAAACCATCGAAAAGTTGTGTGTACCCTCTGTTTCGTGAGATACACTAAAAACGAGTCAAAAGTTAGGGTATTTACGAGTTTCAAACTATCTGTATCTTCTAAGCCTTCGGAAAGCAAATGTGATCAATGATAATGGTGACATCTCCATTAATATTTCAACATATGATTTTTGTCAATTAAAATATTTGTTATGTACTGTTTTAAAGCGCACACGTTATTTTTTTAAAAACAATTTATGTATAAAATAAAAATAATTTAATGTTATAAACATACATTTTATTAATTATTAATATAAATGAGGTCATACATATAATATAATGTAAGTTATACATATATCCGAATAAGTGCCAATTAAATAAAATACGATTTAAAACAGTAAAGAAGAAATAACTATGTTAACAAACAAAAGTAGATAATTTGTTATTTTTTCCTCGACATATTTAGATAAGCAGTACGTAATTGCAAAATAAAAATGATCTTTATACGAAATACAAAAAAAGAAAATATATAATCATAATATACTATACTATTTGTCTATTCAAACAGTAGAAAACTTAACTGAATGTTTAGAAAGTAAAAGTGCATAACACCATTTAAAATCCTCCACAATATACATATTTTATATTTGTTGTCATTATTGTAGCACTAGTTTTACCAAATTAATACCATTCAATTTTGATTAAATACTTCATAGTACACCTCGACAAAATTAATACAACTAAATACATATATGAAATTTCATATCTCCAATAAATATTCATGTCTCGCAATTTGAATTCAACAATTACTAGTTGATAATCAATGCGACGGTCCCCAAGCGCGCAACAACAGTAAGACTTTATTGAAGTACGCACACCAAAGTTCTCGCTCTTCTTTCGTATCAGCTGAAAGGAGGTATCTCACAATTGTGTTGCGGCCGTTTGGAACAATAATGAGTGACTCTACGTCTGTTTCCCTTGCGGGTCTCTCGAATTCAAGCAACATTGTGTTAAGACGAGCACATATGTCACGGGGTGCTACGGTTACTTTCTGTGTATGACAAGCATACAAATCGATGGTGCCGATAGGCGTTTTTTTACGCTCATCATCTGGATACTTCCAATAGTTAAGTACACTTCCATTTAAATAACACCAACGTCGATGCCAAGCCCCAAAACCAGAAATGTCTTCAAACATCGTTAGAAAGCCGCGATGTTCCACCAAAACAGATAATTCACAATTAGCTTTCATATGAACAACTCCTTCCAATGGACTTACACCAAGAACCTATATTGGAAATACAATAAAAGCAGAAATGAGAAAACAATTGCAACAATACAAATCAGCCATACTTGTGTTAGCGTCCATGAGGTACGCTGTATCTCACGTAAAGAAAATATGGCAAAACCATATTGCACCAATGCCGGCGTGCGCACGACGTTTGGTCCCGCTGGGCTTTGAACTGGAGGCATAACTAGGCGATTTTCATTGCCCTTTTTTTTAGGGGTTTTTATGCCACATTTTTTATTCAAATTAATATGATATTTTACCTCGTGAGGCAAAACTTCTCGCTGGGCAGTCATACCGTAAATCTCTAGGGTAATCTAGATGTTGACATAGCAGACATGGAGAAAATAATATACAAATTTAACAATAAATTACGACCATACAACATACCCTAAAATCTGCATAAACGTTATTCATTATCAAAACATCGGGGAATTTAACGGCTAGAAGGCCAGGAAGAGTGGGCACTGTCTTTGTTGCCAAAACATATTCATTGTACTTTAGTAAACAAACCAAATGATGACCGGAAATGGTGTCCGCAGCTAGTTTGCGTATGTAGTCTTGTCGTAATGGTATAGTTATTTCCTTAACTGTAAGGCGTCCTTTATCTCGTAAGGAACCTATTGGGCGTAAACACTTTTCTACTCGCAAACGTTGTACTTCATCTAAACAGGCCTGACGGCGATGAGCTGTAAATGTGATAATTTTTAGTTGTTCTTAAAACTTACAAAATAAAAAAATAACTACTAAAAATTAAGAACCACAACAATCGGGTATACGTAACCGAAACGACTGTCAACTCGGCAGTATTCCTTAATATTTTTTGGCGAATGTTTGCTGTCGCTACAACAACTAACTTACTTGCTACAAGTAGATGTCGCTCGCCCTCAACCGACTCAGTCGAGCCCGAAAATTCAATGGTAGCAGCACATAAGTTCAATGCTTGACTGGTTTGAGCAATCACCGTCTGCTGCTTACATACTTCATCCAGTAGTTTTTTGATTTTTTCTTCCACTAAATGAGTATCATCTGTATCTATTTCGTCTTGTGAACTATTGACTTGTTTCTCAACTTCCTCCACAAGGTACGTTTCCTCGTTTTTGACTTCTATATTCTTTCTATGCTCAATTTTCATTGTTCCAGAAGTAGCGTTACTGATATCGGAGCGCAAGATCTTTCTTTCTTTACTCACCCTTCGAATTGGAGTAGAATTGGCACTCTGTAAAAAAAAGTAAATGATAAGGTTATGAAAATGGGATTTTAGTAAGTAAATGTAAGAACGACCCTAATTTTCTAACAAAAAAACAAAAAATTTAATCACATTATCACTCTGTTGGCGTCTGTAAAAACTGACTGTATGTACCAAGGTGACCATATTGTTGGCGTTTTCGCGACTGATACTCATTTCAGATTTCACCGGTTGTGCCACGTATAAAGGGGTTGCTGAATTTGGAATTGGTGCCATCTTATTTTTTTCTGTTGTAGTTTTATAATTTTTGTACTTTTTTGATGATTTATGGAAAGAAAAGCTAGTGGAAGCAGTTGTCCCTTTGTTCTAAAGATGAAACAATTTATTAAATGCAAACAATGATTATTAGAAAATCCTTACGTCTTTTGACTGATGAAATTTACTTTCAGTGTCATCTGTATCGCTTCCCTGTGTGTCGTCATCAATGTCATCTTCTTCCAAAGCTTCATCCAAGTAATCGTTAATACCCAATGAAGTTCCAGAAGAATTCAATGAGCTATCTTCACATCCAAAATATTCGTTATCACCATAAGATTGCTCCTATTTCATTAGATGAATTTTGATATAAGGCTTTCATGAAAAATTTGTTTTTATTTTGTTAATATACAAACCTCAATTCGATTGTCCCGCTGATGTTTTTGTTGGTGATCGTCATTCTTTTGTACAGCATGCATTATCTCACGCCCCAAACTAATGTTGCAGATGTCTATGTTGCTGTCATCTGAGTCCTCTGAATACAAGTCACTACAAGTAATAACGTAATATTATGAATAGAAAAGAAATGCAAAATTTCAATTTAACTAAAGTTTATTAGTTAACAATTAAATTAAACCTATTTAGAATTAAGTTATTAGCTAATCTTTGTAAAGCAAACTTTTTAGTTAGAATTTTTTTAAGTGTTATGTGAAGCTGATGTTTATTCAATACACATCAGGCATAGCAAACAAGAATAAAGACGGTCAGCCCACCTTCCATCTTCATTCATACTATCTAAATCGCCAGTTTCATGTTCTTTAGTTAGCATCCGACAATGTTCATCTGCGGTACTGTGGCCAGACAAAGTTGCTGTAGTGGCACCACTGTCTCTATTCGATTCCGATGACAAGTTTCTCGATTCCAAATTTGAAAGTGCGGGATACAGACGACTTACAGCAGTTTTGCGTGCGCGTTTGCTTTCCTCATCAATAACCTCGGTAGCTGCAAATATAAGGACTATAGTTTTATAGAAACGTATTCAATAAAAAATAAATGTTCTCACGAGAATGCCGCTTATTTTTCACTGTCAAACTTTCTTTGGGCATCGGAGGTGGTGGTGGTGGTGACGGAGGATGTGTCGGTGCAATAGTGGTATTTTTTGTATTATGAAAATTAAGCAGTGATTTTTTAGTTCCAAGCACCACCATTATGTTCTCATTGCTTTCATTTATATATTTTTGTTTGTGAAAACGATTTGCAATAACTTGCATATCATCATCACGTTGCTTTTGTATATCAGATTTTATTTTGCTCTCAGCCATGGTAGATGTGTTTGAAATAAGCGCAGCTACTTTTTCACGCAATTTACTTTGGTTGCTGGGTTTCGAAGATTTCAGATTTAAATTTCCATTGCTAAACAAGCTGTCGGAATTAGAATCTGTGACATAAAAAATAATTATTAGATGTTATAGATAATTACCTTCCGTTGTCACCTTTGGCACCATCTCCTTTGTGTTGCACAATGTGCTCATTCTGAATTTTACTTATAGACGGAGCCATTCCAAGAGCAGCTTTCGGCATAAGAGCTTCCCCTTTATTCCGTTCAAATAATTGCATACGTTCCTTGAGTGACAATTCTGTCGGATCTTTTTGGGGTCTTTGTGCTTCTTGACAAGCGCTTACTTTTTTCTCAAAAGCAGCCGTTCGTCCAGAAACTAAACCAACATTAGCATTTGTGAATTTACGTTCCTTATAGTCAACCATATTACATTTATCCTCCAAAACTTTAGAAAATGTGCTGGCTAACTTAGCCACTTTAGGATGATGTGAAGTATTTTTTACATTATCAATTCCTTGTTTTTCTATAGGTGTACTTTTTTCATCTATTGTGTAGTCATAAGCAAGTTTGACAACAGATGATTTACGTCTTTGAAATCCCTGGGCTTCAAGTGAATTAAACAACAGAGGATCCCATGTCAATTGTTTTGTATTACCGGTGGGTTGTGTCGTCTTCGCTGGTATTTTTTCAATCGATGACTGCTGATCTGAGATTGTGTGTTCGTGTCCTTTATATGTATTGTTTGACAAATTCATACCTTGTAATGTAGCTACCGGTACATTTGAATTTTTTCTACTTGGTAAATCTGGCTTAGGTGGCGGTAGTGAACTAATTGGATATGGGTCATGATGAACAGTGTCATCTTCCCACTGATTAATAGTACTCGCAAGTTCGACTAATTTTCCTAAACGTTGTTTGGAACGTTTAGTACTTTTCCCATCACATTCATCAACAGGAGAATCAGAATAGAATTCTCCCTCAGTTCGGTGAATTGGCGACGAAAGGTCATTGGGGTTCGCATAAAGTGCACCAAGTCGCTGTAAACGGCTTCGTGAAGTATCTCGTAATTTAGCTGTCGTTTGTTCCAATGATGGTTTAATACGGCTGACTTCAACATCATTATCGCCAATATTTTGCTCCTCAACTTGGACTTCAACCTAATAAAATCCGAAAAAATATTTTTATATCCGATAATTTACATAGATTTATATCAAAGTACCTCCATGTTTTTATTTGTCACTATATTAATTTCAATTCCTAAATCCATATTTTCCTTATTCACCGCCGAAAACTGGCGGTGAAATTTCTGTTCATTATTTGACAAACTCGCTGTATTATTAACAGTCTTTTCAATAACTTCCAACTTATTGCAACTTAAACCACTTTCACTTTTTGCGCTGGTCCCTTTCTGTACTGTAGCTTGCAGAGATGCCGCTACAACAGGCTGAACAGTTATCTGCTGTGTTAGGAATGGTTGTTTTTGTTTAGTTCTATTTTCTACATCTCCGACATCGACGGACTTGGCAGTGTTAAACTCTCCTACACTCTCGACAAGTGGATGTTTACGTGCCTTACTTATACCCAAAAGTTTACTACGTTGTTCCGCTTTTTCAAGCATTCGCTAAAATTAAACGTTTATGTACAAATTTTAAAGTAATTGGTTATTGAAATCCTATACAATACACACATTTTATACTTTAATACTACACGAATATCTTACCTGGGTAAAAGGATCCATTTTGTTTTTCAATTATTCAAATCAAATAAAAATTATTATTTCACTAATGCCTTCAATTACAGTATGTTTGCTATGCACAAGTTTATATCTGCTATTAATTCTTTGATTGATAAAAACCTCAACAATCGTAATAAATCCAACCGAAGCTTATTAAAATCGACGTTGATGATTGCTGCTGATGTCTTTTTGAATTATACAAATTCAGCAGGATTCAGCAAACCAACATTCTTCTTAATCGTAAGGGTTGCAAAGCGTCACATGCATTTTTTCAGAATGAAAACAAATTTAATGAAATAATATCGAATAAACCTTAGAAGCCTCTATATAGGTTGTTTCTCTCTTATTTATGTATTATTAGAGACTTAATAGTCAAATTCCACGAAAAATATTGAAGTTAAATACTACTTTAAATATCGGAACAAACGTCTATTGAGAATTAAAATCGTTTCACCTAAAATAGTTATCGATAATATAGCTGGTGTAAATCAGCTGTTTTTAGAATATCAGTTTAATTAGCGAGGGGAAAGAAATTAGATTAAAGTGAAAATGTTCTCGCCATTTGTACGTCGCTTTTCTATATTTGCATTAAGAAAGATTCCATCAAAAAATGCATTAGGTGGGAATAATTTGGTAAATAAAGTGGCAATTACGAACGACGGCGCCGTTTGTGTCGCATGGCATCCTGAGGCAGATTTTCCATATGAATGTTCCGAACCAATTCCATATGCTATTAATGATCAGAATAAAACATTAATTTCAGACAAATGCAAAGAAAATATAATAAGTGCTTTCAAAACAAAGACACCTGAAATAGCTCGTCAAGAGCTTATGCAACTCACTTATACCACAAAGCATCGTTGGTTCCCGAGATCACGCGATAAACGTGCAAAGAGTACACCAATGGACCGTCTTTATTTGTAATATATAATGTAATATTTTATTTTATTTATATTCAAATATATGATACTAAAAATGTCTAATCCACACGACGTTTCTTTAATATGCTACCTAATATTGCCGATATGGTTGGCAGCTCAATATTAGTTTGCTGCACAGCTGTTTGTTTCGTTTGTGCTTGGTTGCGGTGTTGAGGGAATGTGGGCATCAATTTTGGGTCACACGCTGTTAAAACATTTTTCACATTTTATTTGATAAATAAACTCTAAATCTTACTTACGCAATGGGGGTTCCTTAAAATAGCTGCTCTGTAAACATTCTTCGGCAGTAGCACGTTTCTTGGGATCATACATGAATAAGAAGTTCAAGAGACGTAATCCGGCTGCAGTCAAATATTGAAATTTTGGTTTTAAATTATTATAGGGTTGTTGTTTTAAGGTAAAATTTTCCAATGCGGGCATTTTAAGAAATTCAGGCCAAATGTTCTCCGATGGAGTCCCAAGTAAATCTGTTATCAAATCTAATTGTCCAAGCTCTGTGCTACCAGGTAGTAGTGGCTTATGAGACAAGAGTTCACCTAGGATGCACCCAACAGCCCACATATCCACAGCTGTTGTTTGGATTGGCGATCCTAATAATAATTCTGGTGAACGATACCACAAAGTTACTACTTGTGGTGTCATAGTTGTAGTTGGTTCACCATAAAGCCTAGCAAGACCAAAGTCAGCTATTTAAATAAATTAAAATTATTAATTACCGCAAGATTACAACGACACATATACCTATTTTAACACACCCCTTGTCAGTCATTAACAAATTAGACACTTTTAAGTCACGGTGGATTATATATCTGGAATGCATATACTCCAATCCATGCAAAACCTGTAAAATAATACATTTCACTTCCGACTCGGAAAAAGGCTGCACCATATTGTCGAGCAATGATGCCAAATCCTGTTCGCAATACTCCATTACAAGAAATATGCTTTTCGAAAGTTTAATAAATAAGTATAGTTATATTATTTTAAAGAAGCATTTACCTTTCTAAGCTTTTGCCAACTACTACATCAATGAGATTTACAATATTTTCATGGTTACAGGCTTTCAGAATCATTATTTCTCGTAATCCACTGATAGGTAAACCATCTTTTTCTTGATCCATTCGTACTTTTTTTAAAGCAACTATACTATTTGTTCGAGAATCTCTGGCCCGATCTGTGAGTAGACATTCAAATAGAATGCTCTTCTAATTACTTGTTTATTATACTTACAAACTATACCGTATGTGCCTTCTCCAATGCGGTTTAATTTTTCGAACTCAGTAACTGCACGACATCGTCCATGCTGCATAAAATACCATGTTGTTAAGAAAATATAAATTAGTTAAAATAATATATAAACAAACCACATCGCAATCCATTATATCAATCGGTTCTCCACTCTTTATTGATATCAAGTACCCTTTTCTGGTTACTGGAGCTTGAGGATCTAAAGATTTTATGTGCTCGACAGCTTCTGACATCTTGCTGCGTTTTGTAATAAAAGATAACTCTATTGGCAATAAGTGCTTACAATACAATAATAATGCAATAATATAAACGCATATTAATATCAGAGAATGAGAATGTTTTACATTCTCTGTTAATATTTTGTTGTTGATTACCTCCTATATCCTACAGAGATAAATAAATATTGTGACGAACACAAATGATAGCAACTAGACAGCGAATTCGTAGTTGCCAGTAAGTTCTCTGATTGAACCTTCTCTATTCATTAACATTCTCTGGTCAAACCATCAAATTGACAGTTCATTGCATCTATGTCAAGATGTATATATCTAGACATCTATTGCTAATCATTAGCAAAATGTAGTCTCCCTTGGCAATATTGCTAGCAATTTATATTTTTACAAATTGTATATTACCTGTCGAGATGCCCCGTAAAGAAATTTATGGACAATTTAACCGAAACCTCGTTAATTAAAGGATGATTTAATCGATAGTTAGCTTGTAGGGGAATGTATGAAATCAAGACCCCCTTTTATAAGTATTGTAGCATTGCACTCCTCAGATGAACAATGTTTTATATACAGCTCTATGGAAGCATCTATAAATACCAAATGAGATGATCTTACCAACGCGAGTCGTCGACGAAAAACGTTTCAAAGCGTTTGTCGCATAGATCAACTTATAACTGTAAATTATAACAAACGCCATTATTGAAGAAGACTAAGCAAAACATAGTTATTATAATAAAAGAGTCGAGTAATAAGCATAAGTAGTACTATTTGTAATATATAGTATTCATTAGTTTCGATAAATTTACCTCGTCGATTTTTTATATTTAGTCACGGTGCGAAATCAATAAAAATCTTAAAACGAGTATACGGTACATAGTTAACATTTAGTGGATCGCTGATGCGTTGCACACGTAGAGTAAAATTTGTCAGGGGCTTCCACAGAATCGCAATCGCATAAGTGACCATATGTATGAACAAGTTTTATTTGCTTTACAATTAGATGCTTAATTATCACCTGTAGTTTAAATATAATATTTCCACGTAAACGCTGTCGGATATAAAAACAAAGTGCATTTCCTTACCGGATGTCAGTGAAGTGGTGACTATTGCCCTTTGCATTTTGGAAGAAAATCTGTGTAAAGGCATAATAACATTATAAGAGTTCAATTTGTATGATTTATTGATTGATACTGATTTAACAAAATGAACAGAAATATATTGTTGGTTTTCTTAATCCTTGTTGTGTATTCTGCATTGGTGCACGGTGAAAATTCGTTAAAATCTGAAGGACGACAGTCGTTGCAAAGAAGTCATAATACAGACTTACAGTTCGAAGCAAGAACAAGGAAATATCATCATCATAAATTATGTAAGAAATTTCTTGTCTGATTTTTTTAGAAGTAATTAATATTTATATTTGACTTTGTTAATCACCTAAGGTCATTGCTAAAAAAACGTTACAATATTTTCAAACCCATGATCAAATATGTAAATTGAAAAACAAAAAACAAAAAAACGTTTACTTCAGTTGCACTGAATAGAATAAAAGTACATAAAAAGATCTTTATTCTGATTTTTATCGGCCAGTTTGTATGGTAGCTATATGCGATACCTTCGATAATAATATGTGCCAAGTTTCGTGAAGATATCTTGACAAATAAAAGAGTTTTCCATACAAAGACTTGAGTTTGACCGCTCAGTTGAATGGCAGCTATATGCTAAAATAATCTATACTACTTGGACAATCTATGCTACAAGGACTTAAGTTTGATTGTTCAGTTTTTATGGCAGCTATATGCTATACTTGTCTGATATTGGCGGTTCCGACAAATGAACAGCTTGGGTAGAAAAGAACGTGTGTAAAATTTTAGACTCATATCTCAAAAACTGAGAGACTAGTTTGCGTATATACAGACAGACAGACGGACATAGCTAGTCACGCTATTTACATATATGTATATGTGTATACTTTATAGGGTCTCCGACGTTTCCTTTTGGGTGTTACAAACATCGTCGCAAACTTCATATACCTGGCTGTACAATTTTACTGATAATTTATAATTAAAAAAATTATTAACTCTTTTCACTCACGTCGTACGATGCCTACAATTAAAGATTATATTTGTAAATATTGCGTCAAGTTTACAGGTTTTAGGAAAAGTTTAAGCGGTGTTGTTGATTAATTATCACTTTTCACTTTCATTATTGGTCCCACCTTACTTTCGTGCATGTTTATTTATTATGGCTACACATGTGAAATCTTTTAATCACAGATAGAGCAAATCACTGGTAATTGATACAAATTTATTTATCTATGGGAGAATTGATATTGGTAGGTGTGTTGTTGGTATCAATGTGAATGGTGAAAGTAAGTGGTACCTTTTTAATATATGATAAGAAAAAGTAAACAAGCTACGGTGTTTACTGATATGACACATTGAAAGTTTGTCAAACAATAAGAAAATTATTTATTATATTACCTTGAAAACGACAAAACGGCAAGCGGTTCAGAAATGAAAAATGTTTAATGAGCCGTTTCAAATATTTAAATTTACACCTACATATTTTTTAATAAAATGTGCTAAAAGCGGTATAACAAAAGGAAGGAACTATTTAGTAGAGTCCGACCGATTAATCGACATCGGCCACTTTAACAGAATTCTCTTATCGCACGTCATTCTAGGTATTTGTTTTTTCTTAATTACTTTAAATGTTTAAAATATTAATTAGTCGTATTTAAGATCTTTTATCAATCAACTCAGTATTTGCCTTATGACTCAACATGTGTCTCTGTACTAATTCTTTTAATTGCGATGTTTGCAAGTGAAACTAGAGCGTATCGATGATGTTGGATTAGAAAATTAAAAGATAATTTTAGGAATACACGCAGTGTAGCCTCCTAAAAAAGCTGATTTTTTTTAAGAGAACTACTGTATAAAATTTCGTAAAATTTATATTTATACACACTTAATGAATAGAAAAACTGAAGAATCATTGTACAAATGTCAAGTTACAATTGCAGGCAATTTGAAAAAAAGTTGTTTTGAGATAAACGCGCTTAAAGATAAACGTATTGAGGTATTGAACTGTTTGAACTGAGCGGCTACACTTAAGAAGGCTCGTACTCAAAAAATATTTGAAGTATTAATTTAAAATTTTAATATGATATATGTATATACTTGATTTTTTCGAAATTTCACAGTAGGTGTGGCGCAAAACTGCGTTTTTACTACTGCGTTACATATGAACTGAATTTATTGTTATGTACTTAATAACAATATTTTTAAACTTGCAGAAAAAAATAATACTCTGGGCACAACTACGAAGTGTGATTTCGAATTAAGTATGTATTTTATTTGGAATAGGAAAAGTGTTGCGGAACAAAGTATTAATGAAATAATGAATATTCAGGTAGTTTTTAAGGGATCGATATCGGCCGATTTTTTGCCAATTGGCCTGGGAATCGGTTGGATACGTCTAATTATTCATAAATCAAAAACATACTTGTATGTACATATGTGCTCATAAGATCAAAGAGGCCACTTATATATTATATAAATATATAAATGAATGTTTTGTATATTTTCAGGGTACCTTTGGGGTTGGCACGCGCTGGCTATTGCCTATTGGGTTAAAGTGAAACTTATCGTTGTAGGCTTCTTCGTTGGTAGTGCGATATTCGTAGCTTTGCGATATGCCTGGCCTCATAAATGTTCTACCGGTATTGTTCATGACTCCCCCACAATTGTTTACGATCACCCGCCGTAAGTTGTAAAAAAATAATTCAAATGAGAAAAGTTAAAGTTAAAAAGGCTGTTCATATTTATTTCATAGACCTGCATTTGTTAACGATCATGTGCCTTATTCCTTCGATCATTCACCACAATTCGACAATTCATTTTCCAATTCAGAATCTGTAGATCCTTATTCTGCCTACGCTGGTTCTTATTCCCAAGATATTACAACTACTGCAGAAGTGGTACCGCCAACGGCACAAGACCTTCACCGGATCGGTCGTAGGAGTGTGAACTACTCCACAAGAGTGAAACGTCAACAACAAACGCAATCTGAATCTTTAAGAAAAATTGAGGAGAGGTATGTTCAAATAACCACGCATTATTGTTGTTTTTGTAGCGGTCGAATTCTGTAGAGTTGACAGTCGTTAGTTGGATAAAAATCCGGGTTCGTCCCGGTTACGTAGACCCGGCTGTCGTAGGAACGCATTCTTTAAGGCATTCCGATGCATTCGCTAATCTTTGTTATAGGCATTAGCGTTTCTATCAGCAAACTGATTTTGCAAAAACCTTTAAGATTCATTATTATATAAAATTTATTTGATTTTACTGGCTATTAGTTTTATCTTTAAACATTATTTATAGTAATTTCGCTTTTCAGAATTGCCGAATTGATGTTTGACTTCTTAGGCTTGGATTCAACAGCATGTCGACAACGTTTCATCTGTGAGATGGAGTTTCGCTCACGGCTTAATCCACTTAGCGGTATGGCTTTTCGAATTTTAGGTCGTGGCTTTTTTGAAAAATATATGAATGCACGCAATAAACTTGGTCGGGCAAAATCATTCACTGAATGCTCTGAGGTTAACCCAGAGTGTAAATTTATAGAGCAAAATTACTCAGATCCAGTATCTCCTGAAATAGGAAATTCAGAAGAATCCAGCGGTGCTGCTGCCACTCAAGTTAAAAATGAAATTATAGGCAGTTCAGAAGAAAATCAAAAGAGGTTTAATAACCCTAGCATTACTGTGGAAATTCAAAATCAAGGGAATTTACAAGCAGAACGTAGGTATATAAAATACCTTAGATATAGTAATCTAGATGGCTCAAAAAAGATTTAAACGAGGCTTGGTTTAAACTGAATTCCCGAGTGTACAAGCAACACTTAATAAATTTATATACTTACATATATCAATTTGTACTGGTAGTTCACTAAACTAAAAAGATAATTTATTTATGTTTTTTATATATAATTATAAAAATTGTAGGTATGTGTATATATAATATTTGTTATCAAGAGCTAAAACTCATATTTCGTAGCTAAGCAGTACTTTATTTTATTAATGAAAAACGATAAGTGGTTTGATCTAAATAATTTATTTCGTCGTGTAGCTTTATCTTTATGCAGTGGATAATAAATTTAAAATACTTAATTTGCATCAAAATATTATTTAGATGGGTATACAGATAATCGAAAATAATTATATAATTTGTACAGCAGTCAACTGCAACTCGATTAGGATTATAATTTTTTAGTCTTTTTTTTTGTTACTGAATTTATTTGATCAGCAATTTTATCAATTCTTTTTTGATTTATTGGTTCGAGATTACGTACTTCCTTCTTCCTGCTGCTTTCCTGCTTTTGTGCAATGCCGCGTGCTATATCATTCCCTTTATTCCAAACAAAATTTAGGAAGTCCATAGCAATATCTTGTTTAAAGAAAGCAATCGACACTAAAGCCACTAAAATAAGTGCTGAAATTGAATTCTGATTCAAATCCGCTTCAGCTGTGCGAACTTCTGGTTTGAAGTTCATTTCAATAAATATAGAGCTAGTGTCTGCAACAAATGTTTCCAATGGTAATATATAAGAGTAAGTTTTATCGGAAAGCGTCGATTTCAGCTCCACTATATAGCTCTTACCATCCAGCGGTATTCGTGGAAGAAATACCATAATGCCAGGATTGAAATTTGATTTCATGTTTAAAGGAGTTTCAATACGTTGCGAGTAAATCGGCGAATCAGATGCACCTTTACGGTACATCAAAATTCTAAATGTTTTATAGTGATCATTTAGTGTAGTACTAATACGTACTATAGCATCAACGAATTTTATAGGACTTATGGCGATAAGATTCATCCCACGTATATCATTTTTTGCTATTTTAACGATTCGAGTTTCAGGAATTGAGCGTGCTATATTTGAATCAGGCCTGCCAACATCTTTGGGTTTTAAAACATAAGTACATCCTGGTTGCAGTCCCCGTAAACGATATTGCCCGTTATTTTCACTTGTTGTTTCTTCTTGTTGATATTGACAACTTTCGTCAGAGAATGCTTCGATATTTATTTGTCCGAAAGGTTCACCATTTAGCGAATTTATCGATCCGAAAATAGAATACGCCACGCGTTTTCCGCTAAACAATAATTGAGGAATTCTAAATAAAAAACTAACTATTTATTTTTCATACTTACAAAAATTCTAATTTAATAGTTTCCCCATCCTTGATATCAATCATTTTCGATGAAGGCTCAAATTTATATTCTTTCATCATCGGTCGTAAAAAATAACGTGATGGTGAAAGTGAATGGAAATTAATTGGCTCCTCTGCAGTGATCAGATTCCTACGGTAACTTTCTGCACCGCTTAACGACAGTAAAACACCACTTAATATTTTCCCATCTTCATCTTTGACATTCACAATAATCTCACATAATTTATGCACTTGAAATGAAAATGTCTCCCAATTGAAATCAGAGAAAACATATGACTCTTTTTCAGCTTTTAATTCATATTTAAGATTCTCGTCAATAGGTCCAAATGTGAATTCCCCGTTAATATTGGTATACATAATTTGTGCAGTCAGTTCTTGATTCTCTGGGTGATTTAAAATAATTGTAGCATTTGCCAGAGCAGGCACAACTGTTCCTCTTATGATTAAGCCTCGCGTAGCGATGAAATTAAATGCAACGTCTACGCAATCATGACTCCCTATTAATTCCTTGGTTTGAGGCGAAAAAAGTAACAATTCGCTTTGCGGTGTAATATTTATTATTTCCTGGGGTTGCAAGTGAATATCATATCGATATGAATATTTTCCGTCTACTTTGTGAGTCTCAGCGAATGGTGTTATAATATTCTTACCAAGAGTTTTCGATTCTACAATTAAACGTAGAGAATCTATATTTGCGTCTGAAGAAAGTATTCGTACTCCCATTTTATGGGCTATAGCTGTAATTATAACGGGATTTTTCTCCACCGTATTAAACGTTTTAGGTAGATTTTCATCATATAAATGACAACCTTCCAATTTAAATTTGTATGTCCCAAATATAGGTACACAAAATGTGTTCACACCTGTAAGTAATTTAAGAGTATCTACTAATAATTGTTGTTGCTGAACGGGAACCACTGTGCCAGTGTAAGAATATTTCATCTGTAGAAAAATCTTTATTAGGTTTTTATTTAATCGCCTTAAATTTTTCAACTTACAATAGCGCGATGGCTCGAAATTACAGTAACCTCATATCCTCTTTGAAGAAAGGGTGGTGCAGTTTGCCTAACTGTAGCAACGTTGACGAAGACGGTTGTGGAATCAAAGCACAAGTTCTCCTGACTAATAGTTAACTCATACGCACCCGGAAGTATGTCTTTGAATAAGTACTTGCCACCTTTAGGGATATAATTAGAAATTAAATAATATATTACATTTTTTTTCGTAAAAAATTACCTTTTGCTATTGACTTTTCCATTTGCCCTGTTCGCTGACCTTCTGAATTTAATGAATTCAGTGTAATATCTGCTGCAGTACATGTCTCAGGAGCATCAGGAAGACATTTTACTTCTCCAGACAAAATTGCGCGTAGTTGTGAAAATAATATATCGTTGAGCGGTTGGTATTGCACGACGATTTGTTGCTGTAGTGGATAAAATTGTATACCACTAGTTTTATCTGGGTCAGTTGTCAAGACTTCAATATTATATTTTCCACTTGATAAATATATGCACCAATCTCCAGATTCGGGTTTGCTCGAAACTGTTGTGTGAAATACGGATGAATGCTTTGTAATACCAACAACATATGATTTTTGTGAAACTACTTTTCCACAAACTTCATAAGCTAAGGGAACTATAGCATCAATATTTGTTGTATTTATTTTTAAATCGATTTCTTGTTCACTGAACTGATAGTGTGGGTATTCTGCCCGAAGTTTATAATGGCCAGGTTTTATATTTTTCACCGTATAGCTACCATCTATATCAGATTTTGCTACAACTTGATCATTCAAAATTATTAAAGCACCTTCTATAGGTGATCCAATATGTGAATTAAGTACTTTCCCAGCAACAGTAAAACCAGTAATCTAACAAACAGTCGTATTACTATCATTAAATAAACCACCTTATTCTTAAACTTACTTTAAATTCATCTCTTATGAAGAGTGTGTCTTTTTCCACTTCCAATTCTATGATCATTGGTGTTATGTGTAATTTATGTGTGGAATTTTCCACAATTGGCTGCACCAAATATTTGCCCGGAGGAACTCCTTTGAAAATAAAATTACCTTTTTTATCTACTGAAGTTTGGCAAGATGAATGTGTTTCATAATTTAAATTATAACTTGATAATTCAACATGTCTTCCTTGTTCGCACAATAATAGAAGTGTTTGCTTTTAAGTTAAATCAAGATCATTAGTTAATTGTATACACGTACAAAAATATAATATTACCCCTTTCTTTCTGAATATTGCCAAGTCAATGCCTGCGGTTAATTGGCCATTCGAATTAAAATGGCCGATCACATCAAAACCTCCTACAACTAATGAGTTGTCTGGCAACTCAGTATTGCCGCTCTCCACTAAAACGTTGTGTTCCGATTTTGAAAAATGCCATCTCGGATGTGTAGCATACAATTTGTATTTTCCTGGTATTATAGGGGTAAAGGAGAAAATTCCATTTGTATTGGTCACAACATGGCGTTCCTCGCTTTCAACTTCCGAAATCAAATGAACGCTTACGCCCTCCATACCACTACTGTCTCTACCCACAAGGGCAACTTTTCCAGTAATACCAAAACCTTTAAACACAAAGTTTACATCATTGCCTTGACTACAAATGTCATTTCTTCCATCAAAATTAAGTTCCACCTGTTGTGGCTCGAAGCTCCAACCCGGAGGCGGTGACACTTGTAGGAGGTATTCACCCTTATCATAAATAGGCAAAAAGTAATATCCATTTGAAGGAGAACAATCGGTTTTATCCTTTAAAGAGCCTTGTTTTGTCAATCTAATTAAAAATAAATTATTTTAATGTTATAGGTTAGTGACCATAATTAAAGGGGCAAATCATGTAAGCCCCATGTCGTGATTGATTTTACTTACAACTTTACTTCTACCTTGGAAAAGTCAATTTCTGCATGACTTTTTATGAATCCTCCACATCCTAACACATCATCTCCAGTTGAATAATGGAGAATACAACTGAATTTCGTTAGTAATATTAAATAAATTAATCCAATTAGGCTCATTTCATTTAAATTGTAGGAACAGTCGGTAACAAATATAATATATGATTGATAATGATTACTTGCTGTCCCTACAGGTAACAGTTAATATCTTGTTAATCTTATCAGCGGCAATATTACCAATTGAGGTGGCACAGCGTTTATGGTGGGCAACAACAAATATAATAATTTTCCAAATAACTGCGAGTAATTTACACTAGACCCGAGTTCATGAAATATAACATAAATATCAAGGGATAATGGCAGTGACAGAAAGAGTACCGTTTTGTCAAACCACCAGTTCATTGATAGCAATGGATGGCATGAAATATATTTAAACATGCCAAACATTGGCAATGTGCAATCTCCATTGGCAATATTGCTGGCAATATTGATTTTCACCAATTTTAAATTGCCTATAGAGATGCCCCGTGTGTAAGTAAAAAAATGTGAATGTATTAAGTATCTCGTACTGTCACTGGCACGTGTCCTATATTTTTGATCACCGTTTTTTAAAACATTTCTATTATATTACGCATATTTACATATTACATACAAAAAATATTCGAATATAATATAATGTAAGTATTCATTTGAAACCGAGCGCGGTTGCAATCATGAAAGGAATTTCTAAATGAAAAGGAATACCGAATGGCGTTGTTGTGTACTGTTACGAACAAGAATATAAAGCGTGGCACCCAAGCCCGAGCGGCATGGCCCTTTCTTTCCTTTTCGTCCCCTCTCCTACAAAAACCGGTTTGGGCGACAAAAAGAGTCCCCGTCTGAACATACTCCCTACTCCCTAAGGATGGAAAACACGATTCCGATTCTACTCGATAATCGATTTTTGTCATAAAATCATCGATTTTTCGGTGTCGACCTTTACCTTCCGAAATCGATCAAGAATTCGGATATTCGATTTTATGGTTAGGTGGTTAGTTACATATTGTGGCGAACACGAATACCAGAACACATCAGAATCGACGATAAACTGCTAGAAGCAACTAGACAGCGAATTCGTAGTTGCCAGAATGTTCTAGTAGCGAACTTTTGTTAAAAATTTACTATATAAGGGCTGCCGGACTGTGCAGCTCGGACAGTTCTAATTAGAGTGTTGCCGTGTAAAAAGCATTTAAGCTATAAGCAATAAGTTGTAAAGTCGAATATCGAGCATTAAGTGTTAGGTTGTTGGAATAAAGATAAATATATAGCCATTAAATTGTGACTTTAATTTAACAATCCAGTGATCGAACTCAAGAGTGAGTTACAGGTAGACGATTTATCGGGAAATCCGTTACAATATTCTCCATACCATTGCAATATCATAACCATTGTTAGTATACAAGTATCTGTCAAACATTTTTCATGTCTAGAGATTTTATATGCCGCATACTTATATAAACGCGGCGGCAACGCTGAGCGTTGAAAATTCAATTTTGAAGCCTGCTGCCGTGAAGTAGTGCTGTTGTCTAAATAACTGTGCTCATCAGAACGTGTGTATGTTAATATTATATTTGACAGATGCTGTCCATCTGTGTTTAATGCATTAGTATTTTTTCTTGTTTGCAATAAAGTCTTGTTTTATATAAGTAATTTATTTAATCTTAAGTCTTTAAAATCCAGCCAAAAAATTCTTTTAAATAAATTTTTGATAATAATTTTCCATTTAAGCCATTCACAGCGACAAGACTGGCATATTATATACAAAACAAAACTTCATTACTTGGAAGATACCGGTTATAACGAAGTTTCCGCATACTAGTTCACGCTCTATAACAGCAGTTCTACAGTATTAAGGCACTTGGACAATTATTCTTAGTATTTTGATTTGGAATTGCTGAATGACTTACTTATTATTTGCGTTGCGAGTTGTGCACCATAGCTCCATTACGATCTGAGTACTTCTTTAAAAATAAGTAGCTTGTTTCCTATGAATATGGTCTACTACCAATTAGCTAATTAATATTTTTAAGTTGGATATGTAGCTAATATTTTGTTATTAATTTTAATTTACTGGAACTCCTCTCACATGAAGCTACGAACACGCAAACCGTCATGAACAATTTCAGTGCAATCAAAAGATTTGGAAGAGATTCTCTAAAATCCCATTCTACAATAAACTTTAAAAAATCTAGAGGCACCCAATCAGTAACCGTATACATAGAGCTGAGCTAGTGCTAGTGGAGGAATCTCCGAAAAAAAAATTTTGTGCTAGCGATTTATTTTTGAGAGACCGGGTGGGTGTCACCCCAAAACAGGTGGTATTAAGTATATGATGGAATATAATTATATATTAAACGAATAACGAAAAATTATAGTTTAAGTTTATAGTAGTAAAACCGAAAAAGTACCTTTTCTGTCAAAACAAAATTATACTCAAAGCCTACTTTTTGCTTAAGAGCATGCCAACTGGCCAGAGGAGAAATTACGCAATATCCTATGGTCAGATGAGTTTAAATGAAATAAGTTTTATTCTAACTGTAATGCAGAGGATGTCTGAAGGCCAATGAACACCACTTTAAAAACCACAATACCTAGTTACAACCATTAAACTTTGAGGAGGATCCATCATGGCTTAGGGATGCTTTACTTACAATGACAGCAGTTACTTATTGCAATATTTTAATTGAAGTGATGTTACATTATACTGAAGATAATATGCCACTTCGATGGTTGTTCCACACGGTGACGCAAAGCACAATCAGAGCTGATAAAAAAATGGTTCTTAGATAACAACATTAGCATTTCAAGCTAACCTACTCAATTGTCGCATTTAATTCCCAGTAAAAATGTAATGGTAATGAAAATATGCGAAGCTATTCTCCAGGCCACATGCCAATAATTGGGGGAGTCTATATCTCGTCGATGTCGCACCTTTATATATAATAAAGTACCAGAGATAAAGAGATGCCCAACTCGCCTGTCAAGGATGCCTGCGCTTGACATGAACATCAATAGACTCTGTGGCATCACTATCGATACCTCTTTCAGTGTCTCATACCTTTAGGCCCCAAATACTTAAAGCGTAGAATTGCCATTGCGGGATAAGTGCCCAAGAGATGCTATATTGCTTCCCTGGTGCCTTGTTCTTGACATTTCCTGCAGTCTTCTCGATCTGTCAGCCCCATTCTGAAGGCGTGTGCCGCCACCAAACCGTGACCAGTGAGGTCCATGTTCCTACAGTCCCGAGTGCCAGTAGGAATTTCGTATACTTCCGATCTACTGTTTTGCACATAACTTCTGCAGTTTTGCACCCAGGTAGATCGTGTTTTGATTTTCCTTACCATGCTTTTGTCCAGATCGTTGTATAGACAATGCATGGGTTTTCCAATGTTGATCACGTTTTCGAGTGTCAGCCGTACACCACTCTTGGAAATCTCGTCCATTATTTCATTCCCCTCGATGTCTTTGTGAACTGACACCCAGTAGAAGTTAAGTCGCTTGCTGTTGTCGACTCTTTCTTTTGCTGCCCTGCTTCCCAAGATACTTCTGGCCGATATGCGATACGAGAGGTTACTGCCTTGACTGCTGCTTGGCTGTCTACGTAGATGTTGACTCTGTAGTTTCCTGCTGGTGCATTAGAGGCTAGCTCCGCGGCTTTCGTAATGCAAAGACCTCTGCTTGAAATATAATGCAGTGGTCCGGCAATTTAAAAGGCTGCCTTACTCTGGAGAGTATATCACCGCACTACCTCCATTCTTTATTTTCGAGCCATCCGTATTAATGTTTAGTGTGTTGCGTGCAGCTAATAAACCGCCATTACCCACCGAGTTATGCCCGAAGATTCTATATGTAAATTCTCCTGCAGCCAGTAGTCGCCTCGCCAGTTTTTCTGCGCAGCTTTCAAAAAAGAGGTCTACAGGTGGCAGGTTTAGCACTAGTTCAAGAACCGCCGTTGGATTGGTTCTTAAATCTCCCGTTATGCAAAGCGCCTTGAGCGTCTGAAACTTTCCATTAGCTTCCGGTAGGTGGATTTTCGTACGCCTGTCCACCACCGTAGAGCAGAATTGGTCTTACAATAGCTCTGTAGCATCAGTGTATGAAAGAGGGAGAAAGCCCCCCAAGTTGTGCCAGCATCTGCTTACACGCATAAAAGGCATTGCTAGCCTTTCTCACTCTTTCTTCCACAACAATTTGCTGTCCAAGACTTGTGTTCTATTTATCGAAGGGAGTATCCATGGAGGGATTTTGTATTTTCTTGTGAACCGGCTTTAACCCCAGACCCGCTTGCGATGCCTAATTCTGGACTGTATTGAAAGTGGTGGTCATAATACAGCTAATGATGTGTAGACACCTACCCGTTATTAAAAGGGGAAATTTCGTCCGCATATGCCACTGTCTTAGGGGCTTTTGCCGTCTAAGTTCCTTAACAGTTTATTTACCACCAATGTCCATAGGAGGGGAAATAGCACTCTATCTTGCGAAGTGTCTCTACAGACTTCCTTGGTCATTCTAACGTCATTCCACTCTGATATTTTCCTTCTAGAGATAGAGAGTATAGCAG